CGTATATATATATATATATATATACAAGCTGAAATACCTGTCAAACGGAGAATGTTTAAACTCAATTAAAACAATGCAAGTTTAACAGCAATCATACATTTCAAAGTAATAACTTGAACATAAACTTTATTTCAAAGTTTTAGAATTATAAGAGAACTTCTTCGTAAACAACATTTGCAGTTTGCTTTCCATTACAAACAAACAAAGATTTTGAGGTGATCCCACCCTTTGAACACCCTACATCTCATTGACCATGAGAAAAGCATGGTTGTTTGAGAAACAATCCAGCAACTTTCATAGTTTGACCTTGAATCCCTTTAGAACATTCAACATTGTCTAAAGCGTCAACCTGCCAAGATTGCTTGAGATTGACTCAATAGGCTGGGAGTAATTAACCAACAGGCTTTACAAAATAGGAATAAGGTTAAGTTCAATTTTGATCCCCTTAGGACATTCCCCATAGTTCATAGTGTTTAACATACAAATTTTGTTTGAGATTGGCCGAATAGGCTCGGACGATTTAGGGTAGAAAGAAACACACATTTGGTCTTTATATATCTATATTTATATAATATAACAGTAGAGGGTTGGTTGAAGACTGGCTCATGTGAGGTAAATTTGTATATATAATATATATATAACTCATTAAGACTGGCTCACCTGAGATAAATTGTATATATAATACTCCAATCAAATGAGGCTTCTGAAAACTCTAAGTGCAATATTTATTTGTTTTTCAGGAATATTAATATGCAACGCATGATTCTGAGTTCCAGTGATACTAATATCTTGCCAAATTACTTTCAAGGTCTCTGGAACTGTAATTATTTCAAGAAAACTTCGAAAGTCAGCATTTCCATGGTATCGCTTAAATTTACAGTGTGTGTTGCCACATGACATGCGTATATGAATAAGAAGACTCGTGATTTTATCTTTGCCATTGTTTTGTTCTACAAACAAAAGTTCAAATCCAAAATTATCCTATGTGTAGGCTTTCTTGAATTTACTGCATTTTATGTGGCTTTTGGTGAAAACTTTGTTCACAGTAGTCAAATCTTCAGTTTATTGTTATAAATTAGTTTTTGTTTTTAGATTTTTGAAGTTAAATACAAAGCTGCACAATGGCCTGTGTGGGCTGTACTAACCACTAGGTTGTGGGCAAATCAAAACCAGATGTTTAGCGTTATAAGCACAAAGACTTACCGCTGAGTCATTGGGGGTCATTGTTGTTATACAAGTTAACATAAATATGTCTAGATTAAAAAGGCGTAAACTCTCTAGCCATAGATAGCATGGGTATTCTTTATTTGGAATTGCTTACAAATATTTAAGAGTAAAGTCCTCTCTTCGTATAATGCTCCCCGGAGGGTCAGTGGTAAGTTTACGGACTTATAATGCTAAAATCCGGGATTCGATTCCCCGCTGTGGACATAATTCAGGAATCTATTATGTAGCTTTGCAGTAAGACTACAGCAATTTACTCTTCGTATAAAGTACAACACCAATGATATTACCACTATGTCGTTCATAGAAACGTTGAGACAGTTTCGTAGATCAACAACTTTATAACTGTGTAACTAAATATGCTTGAACATCAAGCAGTTTATGATACAGACTATTACCATCTTTCAATATTTGAATTTGTTTTATATCCATAACTTATATTTATTATTAAAACGACGAAATTAACAATTCTTTCGTACTTGTAAGCTCCCTTGGTGTCGTAATAAAAGAACGTACTACTAGTAATCTTGTGATTTGACTATAATCATTAATTATTGCACACAGGGACTTATTTCGTGCAAACTTTAATAATTAAGCTTACATCTGATGGCATTAGTGTGAGACATACGATACTAGACTGCTAAATGAGGTGAACTTGATTTGAGATGCTGATAACATAACCGTAAAGTTCCACCTTAATACTTTTGTTTCTAGTTGGCTTCCCTTGATGATTGATTCGAGGAATCTTTTAAGGAGTAATACAAGTTTAATATTTATATGAAAGTGATAGAGAACCAAACCAGTAATCATTTAGATAACGGTGGTTACCATGATTTAAAATAACATGAAGGATTTAGTATGCTGTGCATTTGTAATATCGTTTTACAGCAGAAGAAACAGTAGAAAGAAAACTGACTGGGTTTTGCCAAGTGGTTAGTGGGTAAGATTGCGTACCAGATGGTTTAAGGTTCGAATCCCTATATGTCGCTGAATTCGTTCCGCGCCTTTAACTGTGGGCGTTGACTATGAAAATCAATCCTACTATTCGGCTAAGAGTAGTCGTGTAGACGGCGTGTACTGAGAATTGGTTTCCTTCTCCAGGTCAGTTGCCATAAATTAGAGATGGCTATGCCTGAATCTTTAGCGCGTGTTTCGCATATGATGGCGTTCATGCTGAAAACACCAAATAACATGATTTTTACCACACTAAACTTAATGAGCCTTCACGTTTTACTAAAGAGAATTGTTTTACATAAGAAATATTTTCTAGACTTCCATTACTAATTAACTATCTGTTAAGATGTTATCCAGTAATTTTACCTACTATTCAACTGAGCATAATCGAATATTAAGATATCGAAGTTATTTCTTTAGCAGTTCTATTCATGTAATAAGAAAAACAGATAGTAATTCGTTTAGAAATTTATTAAAATTATTTAAAATTGCTGAAAATTGAATTTTGTCATTTTCTGAGTAACAGTATAAGAGGCTTCATTAAAAAACTTTCTCAAAGATAATTTTATTTACTTTAATAAGGAAAGCATTTACAACGTAAATCCAAATATAGAAAGCTCAACTGGTAAGAAGGTGAAAAAACCAGATATATATTGTATTGAATAATTTTTTTCTAAGTTTCAAAGTTATATATACAGCTTTATTAGCGTACAGAAACATATACAAGCATCGCTTGCGTCTCTTTTGAAATTATAAATTATCTCACTTATTGCTAACTTCACTAAAACGTTTAATTTAAAATGAGAAAACAACTATTTTATATTGTATTGTACTTGATAGAGCAAAATATTATTTATTAGAACAAAAAATCACTTTGTAATGTAGAGACATAAAGCTGTAAATTAACTTCCATGAGGCAGCATAGGTATCATAAGTTAATAGCGTGAATCATCAGAGGTATGACATGTGTGTGTTATAGTATAGTAATACAGGGTGTGTACGTTATATTAAAACAATTTTGAATGTTCAAATTAGCAAGTCACGTGGCAGCCATAGCCAATATAAAATCGCAACGGAACGGTGTACATCAGAGCTACATTTTAACATTGGTAGTGTGATTCATAACTTTACGGAAGGGTATGTAACAGCCATTTCCAAAGCAAAATATGAATACACTCTGATCATAAAGATATGTTTAGATTAAGTATTTAGAATGTTAAAGATGGAGGTATCCCTTATATTTAGTTGCATTGGATAGCAAAGAGATATGGATCAACTTGGAGTGCAGGACCATCAAGAAAGAGACCAGCAATAAGTCGCACCCAATCCATGGTAAGCAAAGGGAATCGTCTTGTAAGAGATGAGAATACACAAACATAAGGATCAGTGGCAAAAGCTGTCCACGTGCCCCAAGGAATAGTTCACAACATAGTCAAGAAAGATCTATGTTTGGAAAAATGACACAAGTCACGTGTGCACAAGTTGATTCTACAAAATATCAGTACAACTGTCGTATACCCCAAAGCAACTGAAGAATGAAACTGATATCCATACTATTCCAAATGAGAACATGCCGATCAATTATCGGATGCAGCACCTGAGAAACCGTCTTTCTCGTACACTAGATGGATATTGAAAAAATAGTAGAGAGGAGGAGGGTGTTTTGTACATATAGCCTTACGACGGAACCTTTTGCAATGGAAATTACGCTGCTGGGCAAATTTCAAGATGCACTGTTGTCAAATAGAGCATTACCGGATGTATTGATATGGACTATAACGACGTTGAGATGCTTCAAATGCGTTTTAATATATCGTACTCAACATCTGTATTTGTTTTGAAAAGTATTAGAAATGTATCTTATTATCATTGTTCCTAAAATGGTACACACACATATATCCCGCTAGCAGACGCGCCCAAATGTTCTACAGGCATATCTTGTTAGCAGTCGCCTCTAAAACCAATTATACTCATATTTCATCAGTAGCAGTTCTCGAAAACCGTTACGTTTATCCCGTTAGTAGTTGTCTCTATATTGTTCAAAACACAAATTACATTAGCAGTCTATCCAAAAATACACGCAAATCACGTTATCATTCTCTACAAAAATACTACACGCAAATCACATTAGTATTTGTTCCTAATCAGAAAAGCTTGACACACGTATTCCGTATAGGTTAAAAACTGTCTTATCATGTGTTTAGTGATATTCCATGGTTCCAGTGGTGAAAGAAGGGCGGTATACGCCGGTATGCATACCGGTAATAAAAAAACAAAGGCGATATGAAATATCGGCAAAAATAAACAAATAAGAAAATGTTATATTACTACAAAACACCCCTATATATACACCTCTTTGGTTCCGCACGATAATACGTTTAGGTCTCTGAAATTATAGCGCAAGTTTGTTTCATCTCAAGTCACTAACCTTATTCGCCGGAAAAACCACCCTTCCACCCCTCCTCCCCCAGGAAATTCATGCTGGCATCTTATCTAAATCGCTTTAAGAATTTCATATCTCCCAGTAGTACTGAAAAATAGTCTCCAGTGTTATATATTTAAACTTATATCATCTATTTATTTATCGTACATATATATATATATATGCATAAGGCATTTTGATGATTTTTCAGAATTATAGGTCCTTATTCTATTTGACTATTGAAGTTTGTTTCGAAATAGTTGCTGTTTTGGAGAAACCTGAAACAATGAGTTACAGGAATATTAGTGTGAATTTCTACTTCTACTTTTCGAAAATTATAAGAAGTTTTTGCAGTGTTTTTGCAAATAGATTTTCATGTATTTTACATAGCTTTTCTCAACTGCTTCTCTGAAAGTTTAAATGACACAGAATATTTAATTTGACTTTGTGAAAATAATTTTTATTTCATTACGTTCTTTTCCTGAATATATAAACATGAAATACCATCTCGAAGTACATTTTATAATTTTCTTATCATGAAGAATGCACTAAAATAATGTTTACTTCTAACTTTAGCTATATCCATTTTACAACTTATTATAGAATTAGAGAAAACTTGATTTTTTTCCAGTGACAACTGTATAGATTCTGATGTTTTTTCTATCAGACTATAATGATAATTCCAATAATAGAAGTAAATGACCCTTAGCAGTTTGTCCCCTATAAGTCCTTGTTTTACGTCAAAAAATTAATGGTACAACGTTTACAGTTGCGTTAACTCAGTTTCAATGTTTCGATAAATTTATGATGCAGATTTCAGATAATTCTCAAGTTTGTTTGGTGTATAATCCAGAAGCTGGCGAGGCATGATTCCGTAATTTAAAATAGGTATATAGATAATAATTCAACCAAATCTTTGCTGTTATCCAACTGCCGTGATGAATACTGGTATTGAGCGAAAGACCTAGTCTGAAGCGCATATCACAAACAGGTGTAGTTGAAATTCTATTACAAACTCTTTTTTGTTGAAAGTCTGTAGATGTACAGTAAAGAACGGTTTGACAAACACTGCCAGTTTCACTGGGAATTGATAACTTGAATGTTTGTTTTGTATCATTAGGAAAGATTAGTATAGAAAAAGTGAAAAACATTATATTAACTAAAAATAGCACGATGAGTCATAAACATTTTAAAGAACCTCTTTATATACTTAAAATTTGGATTTTGTCGGTATAACACACTCAATCAATCTAGCATGAAAATAAGAAAAACCTGGATACTCCTTTGAAAACATTCAAATAAGTTAGTTGATTAAATTTTTCAACAAAAGTCAGGTTCGATTTGTTTGAGGTTTGTTTTGAATTTTATTCAAAGCTACACAAGCGCTAAATGTCCCTAGTTTAGACTAGAGAGAATGCAGTAAGTCAACACCACCCACCGCCAACTCTTGGGCTGCTCTTTTACCGTCACATTATAACGCCCCTACGGCTGAAAGGGCGAGCATGCTTGGTGACGGGGATTCAAACCCACGACCATCAGATTGCAAGTCGAGCGCCTTAACCACCTGGTCATGCCAGGCCAAAACAGACTTATTACCTCTAGAGAAATACTCGTTCCCATGACGTCCCTAAAGACGGCAGGATATGAGAAGTTCAACGTAAGAAAAAAAACTAATAAGTAATTCAAAAATAATAACTAATTAATAATTAAACTTAGTTGTTCCTATAAACTACTAACCATTACAACGATGAGATATTACAACTTTCTATTTTGTGAAATTTGATGCCTTGGGGGTAATTGTTAGTGGTGTGGGATGATCTGGAGTAATTTAACTTACCTTCTGTCGGGATCAAATTCTGAGCTGATGGACTAGAGGGAAGACTGTTATTAACTAGCACCCAACGCCAACTGTTAGGCTACTCTAAGCAAATAGTGGGATATAACCGTCACTGTTATAAGGCACCCAAGGTCACAAAGTACGTAGCGCGAGTTCGACAACGGGACGCGAACCATAGACCCTAAGGATCATGTATAGATAGGAGAACAGGCCGCTAGTCAGAGACGTATTCAATTACATGTGTCCTGAGCCTGAGATGTTCTGGTGGTTGGAGCGATCGATTCACGAGATCAAAACCCGTCGCCGAACATGCTTGCTTCTTTTAGCAGCAGGGGCGTTATAATGACACGGTCAATCTCACTATTAGTTGGTAAAGAGTAGCCCAAGATTTGGCGGTGCGTGGTGTTGACTAGCTGTTTTCCTTGTAATCTATCACTGCACAATTAGGGACGGCCAGCGCAGATAGACCACGAGTAACTTTGCACAACAAACAAATATTTTTCCTTGTTCTGAAAACAAATTTCCTTTATAGAATCGATTCAGTCATGTGTTCTTGAATTTCTATTCGAAGCATTAGTCTTATATATGTTTATAACATATTGAAGATCTGTGCCAGCGTGCGAGAAGAGTTCATTTTGAAGTAAATTGATTTGACTTAGGTCTTATAAGGTATATAATGAAATATAGATTCAACCCTAGCTTTTCTTGCTGTTGTATGAGTGAATTTAACAGCTGCTTTATTATCCATGTCCAAAATAAAGCTGAGCATCATGGCGCCAGAATGTTAAATCCTAGTGGACTTTTTTCTTTCAATTCAACGTATGGATTTCAGCATGAAATAATAATATTACTAAACATAACAACAAAATATAAAGTTTTCTATAACGTTTCTAACTTTATATCCGGGGCCAAAACTTGTACTATGACGCTTAACTAGAAGTTTCTTAAACACTTGTAACACTACCACAGCTTGCGTGTGTGACGTCAACTATTGGAAAGTCAATTTTAAACCCAGAAAAAAAAGTGGATTCCAATTAGCTTTTAGAATCAACATTAAAGTTCGCTAGCCATCACGCAATACCATGTAGTATGTTAAAGCCCAAATTAAAATCTTATAAACTCCAAAAATTGAGTTACAAAACAAATTCTACGTATTAAGCAATCGAACTCCTCAAATTTCTAGGCCGTATTAAACCAAACTTATGCTAAGAGACGCACAACTCCAAATCAAATTTTTAAGCGAATTTAAAATACGTTGACCTGGATATGCTGTTTGTGCCTGTGTGCAATTTAGAAACATTAAATATTTAGTAGATGGAAGAAGAATTAATAAATAACTCTCCAATAATATTCCAACGGCTTCAATAAATGAATTTTTACAGCTGAAGATAAAGTGTAAGTTTTGTGGTAAATAGAGTTACTAAGAGAAATAATTTACAATATCACTTGCACCTTTGGAAAATGTGAAACAAAGGACGTGTCCACATATCTGAAATACATAATATAATTGGATTCAAGAAACAAGAAATTCTTGGCATTACTACTTCGTGCACACATAAGATATGTGCACAAGACAATCCAGAAAAATAATGGTGTGAAGTACGTACAAACCACAACCCTTCCAAATCTGTCGGCCATTTTCCTGTCATCTCCATCGGTTCTGGTAAAGTTGTTGGAAGCAGAGGAACATTGGGAAAAGCAAAGCCGTTGATCCTTTCGTACCAACCGCAGAAGTATGCAGTGGTCTGCCGTCGTTCTGTACGGAGGCCTGCTTTGCTCCTGAAAATTCCAAACAAACAATAAGTTCTAAAAATACACCTAGAAAAAAATAGCCAAAAGTTCGGTTATTGACATTTAAGTATCACATCTTAAAAGTATTTAATCCCATCACACTTCAAATTTCTGCATCAAATATATAAATGTAAAAAATGCATTGCCTTTTCTTAAATCTCAACATAATTTATTAAAATATCTAACGATACTAACAATAAAATTTCACGTTTAAATGAGATTAGTTAATTCAACAAAACTAAAATCACAACATAAGAACTTTGTAGCTTCAAATGTGTACCAATATAGCCCTAAATTATCGATCTATTTTTTTTTTTTACTTTGCTTACAGTATAATATATGTTAATTTTACTTCGACTACATTACATAAACACCGTAAATAACGAGAATAAGTATTTTATTTCTTTTTTATTAAAGTATTTATATAAACAAAGTGCAGTGAATGTTCGAAAATTTCAAGTGTCCGTCTGTTCTACTCAGGCACTAGTATCAGTCTGTTCTGCTCAGGTAGTAATGTCAATCTGTTCTACTCGAGCAATAATGTCAGCCTGTTCTAATAATTGGGAAAATGATCAAGAATGCTTTTAAGAAAACGAAATAAATCAAGATTTATTAAATAAAAAAACAACAACACTGTGATTGGTCAAACCCTACTAACTAAATACTGAACATTTTAATGTGGTTGGTTGATATCCATTTGTAGCGATATAGTTTATAAAAATACTATACTTCTTTTAGAAGAGTATACTCCTTGGGTAAGTAAGTTGAGACCACCTTTTTATTTATTTTTCTTTGAATGGATAAAGTTTTTCTTTCTAAAAGAGATCATAATAGAAAAGTACAAATTTATAGTAACGACATGATAAGAATAGTTAAAATTAACGAGCCTATTAATGTTTAACTGGGCAAAAAATAATTAATTCACGTAAATATATCATCGATATAACTTATGATACGGTAGTTGAAGTCTTTCTGGATATTCTGATATCAACTGTTTTCATGATAACTTAGAAATGAAAATATAATTATGATAGATTATATCCCGTACTAGCCTTCAGCAAGTTGATCTTAAATATCTCCATTGGTAACAACAGCATGTGATATTATTTTACATCGAATTATATTAACTTAGAAACCCGAATCCATTACTTCCATTTACAACGTCAGAATAAGATCCAAAGTAGTTAAAGTAATTAATAGTTTGTTGATAAAGCATCAAATCCAGTTGTGCATACATCATTGCGAAGTTTCAGATTAAATGAGAAAAAGTATCTTACTGTTAATACATTTACGGAAGTTCAATAAGAAAAAAACCTAATAAACATTGACGTCATGAATCTTTTTAATGTATAACTTATAATTTTGGTTTCCACTCATCAAAGCATTTCATAAACAGTATGTATGCCACACAGGTGTCAACCAGTATAGATTACCTTATTAGCATTTTGACGGGGTTCTTTTCGTTCTATTTCACCATGTATTCAAACATCCTACACAACTATAGAGAGTTACCTCAGGTTTTGATAAAACATATAGAATTATTTCCAAATGAAAGTCGATAATAGTTTACAAAAACAAAACAACACATAAACGTACTTTCTAGCTAAGTACTTCTTCTAGACACACAACGTTTAATGTTCTAGGATGTTGTACAAACACTGGTTGAAAATAGAAGTCGACCCTAGTTTATTTAAGGAAACGTTGTAGTTTCATTAAGAGGAAAGTAAAAACAATCTACTTATCTATCTACCACACATAATAAAGACGTTAATCAAACTAATGCACAACTGAAACTGGGAATATGCACTACTCTTGGGTGTATAAAAGTGAAAGGTAAGATTGTGATGGATATTGACAATTCGTGTTTAAGAACATACGTTTTCTATATTTAACCAACAATAAAATCGTTACAACACTCCAAAGATGGGTGTGTAACTTAATATTTTATACAATATACACGCAAAGCCTTTCCCTTGGGTAAAAACAGATGAAAAGACAAATTAGTTTAGGTGTGACAAGTTGTTAGGAGAGTTATATGGCATACCCATTTAATATGATTGAAGAACACTTGGTAATGTATTACTTAGCAAGCATTATTTTATAGTGATATTTTCTATTGTTCAAATTCGCAATGTTGGACTCGGGGCAGGACCTGAATTCGTGAATTGTCACTGTAGGTAAATCGGAAAAGTTTTATTTTCCAAAAAGGAAAAGAAACTGAAAAATGAAGCTTTAGAAGGCAATTATAATGGCTTGTGCTAGTTTATTGAGACTAAACAGCCTTAGTCATGCAAAACATATAAGCAACATGTATTTCATTATTGAAGACTGAGCATTTTGGCTACCTTCAGTTTTTAAGTGTCATCCGTATTGTTTAAATATATAGTATTCAAAATAAGTAGATTAGGCACTTGGCAGATGGACAAAATACTGGCAAAAAGAAATAATAGGAAGCAAAATATAAAATGACATAAAATGGTGAACGTGATTATGATATTTATTGTTTCGATTGCGTAAAAGGATTTTTAGCAAGTCAGAAGCGGAAACGCTAGATTCCTTTTTTTTTATCCGAACCATTTTAATACCCCTTGAATATAATAAGACCGTATATAAGTTCATAGCACTAGAAAGTATAATCCGACTCCAGTGTAACAACTTTAAACGGCTTAAGCTCTGATAAAAAGGGTGAGGCAATATCCACAAAACAGACAACAGCAAAAAAAAACAAAAAACTGTCAGACTGGTTCAATGGGTGAATCAAGAGATCAGTTAGAGCCATTCTGAAAATAAAAATAAATATTGATTTTTATAGCAATTGAAATAAGACAAACACCTAAGAAAATAAAATTATAATACCCTTTAGAAGATAGTTAAAAATGAATAATAGAAAGAGGGTTATTGAAGAAATATTTTTTGGTTGATGGGAAAAGTTAAAAATGAAGAATAAAGAAAGGGATAATGAAGAATTGAATGTATAGAACCAATACAAAATAATTATGTATGTTATTTCAGGTATTTTGTCGTTACATAAAGAAAATTCTCATGTGTGTGTATGTATGTATGCTGAAAGATGAAATACATGAAGAAAAGATAGAAAATAGAAATACTATATATAATTCTATCAGATCATAAGTAAAGCTAACGACTTGAAAACAGGTTACAATCAATTTTAGCCCAGAACCTGTTTTTTTAACGGGTTAGCTAATAGAGTAGAATGATTGTAAAACTTGTGAATTATACCAGGAAAGCTTGATGGAATTTTTCGAGCAGTAATTTATCAAAGTTCACGCAAAAATATTTAATGAAACAGAAAAATGACCACTTTATGGCACCTTCAACTTCATTACACTCTCCTTGTTTGATCTTATATTTTTGAATTTGACCTTTAAACGACACTCTGTTTACAGTGATTTTATTCTGAATATAATTTTTTACCTTAATCATAGTGATGCCATCTATTTCTTATTGTGAGATTTGACCGTCTATGTTATAGAAAACTTAAAGCCCCAAAGCGCGGAGCGCATTTTTGCAGCAACAAGAAGCAAACTATGATCCCTAGGATTCACAATCCAGGCACACTAATTTTTAGGTCCTCCTATTGTAAAATAAAGAATCCAAATTTATTAATATAATAGTACCAATATAAAAGATTTAATTCAGTAAAAACCAAGTAAAAACACCCAGACTTGAAATATAATTATTTCTCTTTCAAAAACAAGTGAAAACAAAAAAGTGACTTTAGTTAGCGTTTTCTGGGAGTTGTGTATATGGTCAATCCTTTTTATAGTGATCAGATCAATTAAACTTTAAAAAACTGGTTAGAAGCAGCTAAGGTATATTACAGAACTAGTCTGAAAATACAAGAATAACATTATAGTAACTTGGGTATGTGCGATATTTTTAAGTGCTAAGGTTCCATTGGTTTGCTTAAATCAAAATTATATAAGCCTTCTTAGTTAGGGATTTCTTGAGATTCTTTATCAAATCAGAAGTTGAATACTGTTGAAAATATTGATGTGTTAAAACAAGGTAACTGGAAATGCCTTAAGAAAAGCGAAACGTTCTAAACATAACTTATTTAGTTTCAACAACAACTTGTTAATTTTCATGAGATTGTTACTTAATTTGTTTTCCAAAACAAATGTACCAGATATTCGGGTTCAAATATTGAATTATTAATACTTGTGAAAGTCGTCTTTTCCTGGGATTTAACATAAACCACAATGTCTTATTAGCTCAAAATGGAACATTTCAACAATATTCCATTGTGCTTAGTATATCATAATTAAAACAAAACTTACTTACCTAAAAGTTCCAAAAACACTTTATTTTAAAATCTAGTAACATTTCCATCATTGATCATCTGAAGATAAATCTATAAGATTTACTTGTTTAAAATGATATAACGAATAAAGGAAGAAAGAAAAGTTAAGAACATAACGTAGCATTCTCTTAGAAATAAACACGCCTTTCTCTAATGGTAATGACTTTTACTTATGTGGAATCTATAACACATAAGATAATGTGCAACGAAAAGTAAAAATTCGTTTTAAGCTGTATAGGAGGGACAATCAAAACTTTTGTTTTCAGCTTACATAGATAAAGGAATTTTCGATAAGCACACATAATATAATATAGTAACTTGCGTGTCACAGTGAGAGTAGCGAAATGTAGAGGAAAGCCATAGTTCAAATTTTCTTTCACTGAAGGATTTAGTGATTTGGGACTATTTGTCATGTGGAGATATATTGGCAGTTGATAGCAGTAACGCGCCTATCCAAGGGAAACCACAGTACCACAGCGGAAGAACTTCCATCATCTATTTTGAAAGCTAGTAATTGTTCGTAAAACAAAATAAGTGAAGATAGAAGACTCTCAGGTACTGGGATAAGAGATGAGATTATCTTAGGTAAATGATAACGTAATGTTGCATAAAATACGGCACAGACACGGTTATTGTGTTGCCTCAACAATTAAATTTCTTTTAATATATATAATAGGTCTGTTTTCGTCAGATTTAAATCATAGGCCGCAAATATTGTGCACAGCTAATAAACATTACTATTTTTCTTTTTAAAAGGAATTGGTAGTATCTTGTTGTTTAATCCATCGCGAAATAGAAATAGGTGTAATTTAAAAATTATTGGGTTATATTAAATCAGTATGACACCCCGCCCTAATTGTGTTAAATTTATAATACCATTGGGTTATTCTAAGAATTGATTGGATGTTTATGCAAAATAGTGAATAACCAATAAGTGAGTCAGTGCTGCGCTAAAATATGAAATGACTGCTTTTTTTTCAGTAAAAATGTTTTTGATGAATTTGAGTTTTGTACATGTAGCTACTTATCTTTCTGAAATGAAATTATTTATTGCTCTTATCTTTATAGTTCTCTTCCATCTTTACAGCAGATTACTGTGATTTTCAATACGTGCTCGGACTAACCAAGTTTGCCTCAGTCGAAGTTATAGAACTTAATCTATCCCTAAATCTCTTGTTCATTCTAGTTTGCTAGTTTAACGTTCCTAAAGAAAGAAACTTAAGCCACTTAGAGACTAAAGGTATTATCTGCAAATGGAATTCAATATCATCAGTGAATAGTCTTTAAAGTGTGCATTAAATTCGCATCTCACACGTTTAATTTATCTAAACGAAACTCGTTCTTACGTGGGTAAATTCTATTCTTGCCATGAATAGTTGAAAAGAAAACTTTATCTGCATTTTGTTTTATAAAATACTGTTTTAACTACAATACCGTAATATTAACTTGTGTGGTTAGGACTTCTTTTGCCGGTCGTGGCCATGGGTTAGTATACTGGACTGTTTGCTCCACACTTTGAAGCTGTAAGGTTCAAATCCCACTATTTGATTAGGGTAACCCAATAGCTCGTGGTTAGTGCTGTTGAATAGTTTCTTTCCTGTAGTCTATTAGATAGCCCATATATAAATTTGCGCGAATTTCAGAAACAGCAAAAAAAACAAAAAACTGACTTTGTACTGGTGTTTTGCTACTTTAATAGGAACTAATTACATATATGCACCTTGTTAAGGTATTTTAACATTCAAACACAGGCTAATCCATTTATGAAATCTACGGTTATTTTTGTTTTGAATATAATTTAATATACTGTCAAAATAAACACCAATTAGGAGATTATGTATTTAAATAAAGACTAAAAATGCGTTTTTCTTCCGCTTCCAACGTCTGTTAAGTATTATAACTATTATTGTTTAGCGAAGAAATTTTCACGCAAAATGAAATTTAGTAATTGTCTTATACAAAACATAAAACACATGATTTACTTATATATAAAACCGGGTATTATTGTAATAAAAGGTTAACATCAAACGTTTTAGAATATTTTTCCATCTCTTAACTTTGAAGGTGATTCTTCAATTGCAATGTTTTTTTTCCACGGCTAGAAAACTCTAGATTTATTGAAACGATGTGCACAGTTTTAAATTAAAACTCATATTTTTATACCATATTGGAAGCATATATATTTGTATTCACCAAAAAAAATTTAGGATTAAACCATCTTTAGAAAATCTAATAGAAATAAACAGTAGAAACCTTCTTTGATTCTTTATTTGTAACATACCAATAATCATAATGATGTAACATGACTTTTTAATTTGGAATAAATTAATCATATAAATGTACCATATTTCTTTATCTAGAAGAAACATATCAAGAAGCTTGCCGAATCATTTTAATTAGAAAAAATGAACACCGTAATTCTCCGAATATAATAATCTCCCAAATACAATAAGCACTCTACACGAACAAAGAGTTAAGTTTTCCTTATTACCATAAATTATATGCACCTAGATTTTTGCAATACTCTGGCCAATGTAACTCTCTGATATTAAAGTGTCCGTATAATCGCTAATTGCGCGTTCGCCGTAGTGCTTGCTATCTTTGCAATCGCAAACGGCAAATAAACATTGCCAAAATATTAGTGTATCCATAAAATCGCTAAAAGCGAGTTTGCCTTAGCGCTTGCTATGTAGAGCAGTGGCGCCAACTATTTGAGGACAGTGATTCGGACTGTAATTTGTAATTTGTAAACTCGATTTGTAATTTTGAATATTAAACGTAGTGTAGCGATAACTAGTTTTTATATTTCTAAGTGTGCAGGTAAATATGTCTTAAAAATCAAAAGACTTAGCTGCCTGCCTCCTTATTAAGGCCTCGCCAGTGGCACAGCTGTATATCTGCGGACTTACAACGCAAGAAACCGGATTTCGATGCCCGCGGTGGGCAGAGCACAGATATCCCTTTGTGTAGCTTTGTGCTTAACTACAAAAATAACTCTTTATTGAGAAGAAACTTATCATACAAGCCTCAAATGTGAGTTTTATCTAAAATATATTAAATATAGAAAGTTAGCATGTATTTTTATTCAGAAGATATTAATCATACAAACCATTTATAATTCAATTTTGTTTAGAAAAAAGATATTATGAAAAGCTATCATATGAATTTATCATGATATTTCGAATGATTTTGAGGAGATGAAATATGTATATATATATATATAAACGAAGGAATTATACTTGCTATATATGAAAATAGGTTTTAATGCAAATGTTTAAAATTTTCGATCAAAAGAATTTGGTACAAACTGTCCGAATTAATTAATTAAAGCAAAGTGAATGTTTCAATAAACTGTGGAAAAAAAATTATAGAAAATTATAGGTGCAAAGTTAGTAAAATTTTATCTTATATAGGTCTGGCATTTAAAAAATATACATCAAATGAATATACACCTTAAATCAAAGAAAGGTCATACCAATCCCATTTCCTTTTTTTGTATACAAATCATTTATTCGATATATCCTGAACGTATTTATTACGCTCTCTCAGTGTGAAAGTTCAAAGTCTGTATGTACTATCGTTCTGTTAACCATGTACCCATTGTAATTCTTCCCAAGGATTCTGTGAACATATTGTTAACTTTGTCCCTTATCACCGAAAATGATTGAAGAGAAAAATTAATACAATCAAAATCTTTGTTTCTGTAAAGGAAAGAAATACATTTCTACTGTTACATTATGTATGTTTCTACACAGAGAACGAAGGGAAAATGGACCAATTTCACCGTTTCATCATTTTTATAACATTACATAAGAGACAAAATAACACAGATGTGTACATCACTTGCACATTTAGCTTATGAATTACATGGTGTCAAATAGCTCGCTGTCATACAGAAACAAGCAGAAAGAAGGTATACAGCATGCAATTCGCAGTTTTTAAAAACTATTTCTGGTCATAAAATTTCTTATTTTTGGTCTTTATACTCTAAAAGTACTCACCTTTCACGACGTGAACCAGTACACTGGCTGAGTCAGTGTTTGAAGGCCCACAAGTGTAGTTTCCGGAATCTTCGGGTTGTGCATCTTCGATATAAAGATTAGAAACGGCTGTATCCTGACTAACCTTCAACACAGAAATGCGACCTCTTGGCAGGTCGTAGTTAATCATGCGGTTATTGTGGTACCAGAAAATGAAGACAGGGAGTTCTGGACTATCACTGATAACACATGTTAGATTGATTGGACTCCCAGGGTCCAGAAAGAGGTCTGACCCATCATGAATCTTCGCTTGGGGAACTAGGCATAGAAAAAAAAACAAATGCAAACTCGTTATGTGGAACTCCAAATCTGTATTACTAAACCTAACAAATGTATACATAAATTTAACAATCTAAATTATTTCTACTGTTATTTCCGAGTTTCTTAATAAACTGTGAAAGGGAAGCCATTTAAATACTGTCTACATGAACAGCATGATCACCAGGAACACTTTCTTAATCTAATAACTGGTGAAAATATATCGCAAAAGAACTGTTCATGAGAATTCATATTAGGTTTCACAACATGTTGCACAGGCATCCAAAGCAGCAGTCTGCAAAGGAACAAAAATAACTATGTGAGCAAATACTGTAATATAACGCATTTGCGTGATTAGATATAGTTGTCTCTTTTCTTTTATCTTTTTCTATCATATCTCATATACATCGATGTGGGATGTTTTACTTTTTTTTAAAGATTTATCTTGTTAAGCTCTATAGATAATATGGATGCCTCAGTGACTCTTGGGAAGATAAAAGCTATCTTTATTCTACGGTAGAGATCAAGATAGCAATTCTTAAGAAACGAAGCGTCTTTTATATGTTCCGTTCGTTCATAAAACAAAAAAGTGATACCCACCCAATGGGGTAGGGTTATTCCGAAACTTTTATATCATGGATTCCATTTTCAGAAAAAAAAAAGAAAGCGAAAATAATAAAAGCTTAAGAAGAAAAAAAAAGCATGATAGAAAATGACTGAACTGATAAGAATTGCCTATTTCTCTCGTTTTATATCACTGAACTCGATATTTTTATTTTGACAAAAAAGGAAAATATGTGTACATGCACGTGATATAAATAAATTATCACGTATTTTTTTTTCAATGTTTAATGTTAAAGTTCCTTGAACAATGGGCTCTTACTGTCGTTTTAACTGAAAAAGTTTTCTATACTAGTAATTTTATGTTTATTTATTTATGACAACTTACATATTAAACTCGCTTTAGTTACTACAGTAATTCGATTTCTAAATTTCACCTAACCACAAAAATAAATTCGACTTGGACCTTTACTTCTGAAAGGTAAATAACATTTATATATTATTCAAAAAACAAACAAACCAAGTTGTCATCATTTAATGTTCATTGACATTTAATCGCCTTTATTTCTTATTATGCTTTAATAAGGCAAGTTTCTTGTCATTGTTTAATCTTAATTGTTTATTCTAAATATGAATACAATTCTGTAGCCATCCAGAATTACATATTCAGCTAAATTTGATGACGAGAAACCCATTTTTTAGAAAATAAAAGTTTGGAGACAGCTTGAATGGGTAACGAAGAAAACTTTATTATAAATCTACAACGTTTCGACAAGATTATATCACCTAATCGTATCGAAACGTTGTACAGTTATAATAAATTTTACTTCATTACCCATTCAAGCCACCTCGAAACTTGTATATTCAGCTAAATGGAGCTTATGAAAAATTTCATTGAAAGTATCTTATATAGACCTTTTTGAGAAAATTTATAGATCCAGGGATTGTGTAGTTGACATAGCTTGTGTGGGTTGTGTGGGAAAAAATAAAACTTTACTAGAAAGTCGAATTTGCAGATAGACTATAAAAAAGATAACCATGACAGTTTTAGCCCAGTTTATTTGCCTCATTATTACCAAAAATAAACCGTTCTAATGATTATATGTGTGACCTTGGTTAGTTCTATTAATTGTCACTAGTGGCGTTTTGACACATCTGTTTATTTAAAAATTTGAATGCAAAGCCACACAAGGTCTATCTACACATAGCCGTACCTACTTATGAGCTGATAAAGCAGAAGAAAAGTAGCTAATCAACATCACCAGATCTTGGTTTACTGTTATTTGACCGTATAACGCACCCACGGTTCCAAAATGAGTAGCTCGTTTTGAGGTAACGGCTGCGAACCGTGAACACTAAGTTCGCAGTCCGAGCACGTTAACCATTAGGCCACGCTCGGCCCATTGACATTTGTTTGTGATAAAAGTTTTTATTAGAAAGAGGTGTGGTAACAAGAAATTTGTTTACAAAAATAATAAGGTAAGCATATTACAGACTGCACAGTAGCTACTTAAAACTATTATACATATCTAATTTACTGAATATTTTCTGTCATAAAGTTTAAATGTCTTGCTGATTGACACTGATGGCTATGAAAATTTCTTCTCAAGTGATAGTGTTAATTTATCGACAAAATTTAATTTTTGTTTACAGTGTGGGCCTTTCATCAGTATATAAAGGGAAGTAAGTAGTAAAAGTACTGTTTGCTTACTTTATATGAGAAAGCTAAAGATTGAAAACTTTTCAATTGATTTCAGCGTAAAGTTTCTGCTTATTTTCACACAATATAATCTACTGAGCAAAAGTATAAAGCTGTCATAACATTTTGGTACGAAACGATGTTATTTCTTTGGTAACCGAATAACAAATAAACGCATGATTGTAAATATGAAAACGTTCGAAACTAAATGGATAAGAAAGCACGAGATTTGATTGAGCTTTTAAGTTTTCTCGATGACGTTATTAATTACTTTTGTCCCTTTGTCATTATAGATTAATATTATAATATAGTCATGAAAAATCTCAGTATGTTGGAGGCGTCATTTTATTAGTTGTTTATTTACTTCTGATGGAAGAAAATTGACAATTAGAAATTTGGTTAAATTTTATTAACTTTTTATTAGAAAATCAATAATTTAGAGGACACATGAGATGTGTATATGGCAGTATAAATAGCGCCAAAAACTGATAGAGATATTTTTATGATGTAGAGTAGATGTTTTATGGATCAGATGATGTATTATCATATATATTTTACTCTTTGCAACACATGAAAACAGAGAATCTTATAAAGTTTAGAATATAAACACTACTTTCATGGTAATACCAATTTCATTTCGACACACACACACACATACTTAACTATTTAGAATTTAATACTCTTGTTTGTTTTAGCCCAAAGCCTCTATATACGCTATGCCGACTGCAAGGATCGAGCACCGAATTTTAGCATTATAACCTCTCAAGCTTACTGCTGAGCCATAGCAAGGCACATTTGCATATATTCTGATTCTATTAAAAATTATTATTTGTTTTTGTTCGAAATGAGGCCAATATTATGTTGTGTGTTTCAGGTAATGCATTAAAAGAACTTACACACTTTCGATGGCATTCCAAACATAATTCCATAAAAGATATTGTTTCTCTTATTAAAGGAATTAAATGGCATCTGTCATTTAATAACTCTAGCATACATGTTTAGAAATTGAAAAATAATATAAAAACATGTTAAAGGTTAAAATATATTTCTTACTGATGTGTAAGGTCCGTGGACCAATTTTATAAAGCTTTCAAGAGCAATAAGGATTGTTTTAGAAATCAGATTCTCTTTAATAAATCAAAACTAATGTTGATGGAATTTTTATGTAATTTGATGTCTTAATAGCGTTTGTTTACGACAAGATTTATTAGATACATTGCCAAACTCGGTAGTTAACTTAAGACAGATATGAGTAAATGCTTTTATATGTTATGTTAATTTTACTTTTAGAAATATATTTCTAAAA